GTCTCCTGCCTCCGCCTCCCAAGTAGCTGGGATTACAGGCGCCCGCCACAACGCCTGGCTATTTTTTGGTTGCAGCGGTCATTATTGTTTGGCGGGTTCGGGCTGGGGATTCAAACCCGCTACCTTAGGTGTACGTGGCTGGCGCCTTAGCCGGCGCCAAGCCAATACTAGTACTCTTATATGACAAAATCCTGATTTTCAAAATATTGGTAATTCAAAGAAAACAAAACACCTCCATATAGCCAGGACCAATCAAAACCTGTCTAACAGGTCACCTGAGTTAACTAACCAAGTTATCACTTGAGTCAGGTTGCTCCAAGCCAGGCTCACACTGGCTCTTCCCCTTTTGCTGACTGGCAAGCTGAGGCTCAGGGCCTCCCTCAGGCCTGCCAGGTCTACAAGGAAAACAGTCGACTCAGCAGCAGCTCACCTTCTCCACATTGCCATATAAGCAGAAGACATTGAAGACTCGGTCACAGTTCATCTTAGATTGATCCAAGCCATAGACCATGAGCACAGGGCTGTCGGCGTGAGGGCCATACTCGGGTGGTGGGGGAGGGGGTGGGGGGTGCCCATACTGGGGGCCGTAGCGGCTTGGGCCCCGACGGTGACCCCCCACAGGTGGACCCATCCTTCTCCCTTCGTAGTGAGGTGGGGGGGGCCCGTAGCCCTCATCATGGTAATGGCTGTGGTACCCACCGTGGGGCCCTCCTGGGGGGTGGGAAGGAAAGAGAGGGAGGACGGGTGAGAATTTGCGCGGCGGGCGGCGGGCAGGGGCACATGAGCCACGGGAGTCCACGGAGGGGAACCCCCTGCCCTCACCATATTCTGCGGGATGGTCTCCCAGGAGAGGGGGCTGCCTCTGGCGTTTGTTGGGGTTGCTGCCAGGGTCACCTGTGAACAGAGACAACATTCAGTGCCTAACTCAGGTGATCTCTCTCCCTCCTGACTACAGAGGCTAATCTCAGCTCCCGGGAGCCTCACTGCAAAGTCTCCCTTTTTACAAAGGCTGCTGGGGCCTTCTTTCATGGCCCAAGTTGGGCATGAAGCCCAAACCTATCTCTCCTCCCCTTATCAAGAGGGCTGGTCTCCTTTTTCTGTGACGGATGAGAGAGACCAGGGTCTGTGATCTCTCAGCTGTCCTGGCCCTGGTGGGACACCCAGGTCCTGGGCCCTCTGGAGAACTTACAGCTGCTATGAAAGCTGATATAACAGAAGGAATGAAAGCAGCTTTCTATTGCATCTCCCAGTGAAGGGAGAGGAGATTAAGAGCATGAAAATAATAACCCAGGCAAAAAGGTGAAACTTGACCCCCAAAGCCCCAAGGTTCTAGGAGCTCTTGTCCCCACTCTCTAGGTTTTTTCTTCCTCCTCAATCTTGGCCCCAGTCGCCCTCCCACCCATTCACGTCCAGCCTGAGGAGAGGGGCTGAGCTGTAGGAGCTGACAATCAGGGCAAAGGCAGAGTCAGTTCAAAGAGCAATCATGTACAAGGCATCAACATTCTCAGACCCAACAATGGCATCGCGCAGATCCACCACCCAACCCCAGCTGCAGTTTATAATCACTACCATTACTTTAGCGCTTAAGTGGCAGACACTGGGCTAAGTGCTTTACAAACATCACAGCTTCTGGAATTCCTCACAACAACCCTATGAGGTAGGTCATAGTATTTTAGCCCCATTTTACAGATGAGAAAACGGAATCGTTAACTTTTAACTGTACAGTTAAAAGACATTTTGGCTCAAGGTCACAAAGCAAGTTAGTGGCTGAGCCGGGATTTGAACCCAGGTATGGCTGACTCCAAACCCCAGGGCTCAAAAACCTTTCTTGCCACCCGTCCTGGGTTTTGTTTTCAACAGTCATTACAAAGATGGAAAAAGACTACTTACAGCAGAAGTACAGAGTACAATGTCCATTTGTCACAAAAAACAAATCTGTATTTTCTCTTACCATTGGACGCTTCAACAGTGAGTTAGCACAGTTCTGAAAGATGGCGTCCCATCAAACATACACTGCGACCCTGCATCACATGGTTTTACAGTCATAAATACAAGTTACGGTATATATCCGCTATAATTTTTTTAAAGAATCGTTTTAAAAGTCAATGTTTTGATTAAATCAAAAATGGCTCACAGATGTTCTGTCCTCAGAAGATACCAGAAAAGTGGAAATAAAGGTGTATGAAGTGGGTAGTGTCCGTGTTGTCACCTCCTCACATTATGTGCTGCAGTGCGGTGCTTCTGGCTGTGTAGCGCTCCGTGTGCGTGTCTCCTGGGTATGGAGTGTGCCAGTGGCCCCACTATGCTCGAGCTTTTTTTTTTTTTTTTGGCCTTGGGAGCACTCCCGGTTACCCGCCAGCAGGTAACTGTGTGCCTCTGAGCTGTTTGGCTGTCTGGTTTTAGGTCTGTTTTGGTTTTTTGATTTTTTTTTGTTGTGGTTTAAGCTTTTTTTTGGTTTGTTTCTGATCTCCAGTTGGTGCAGATTATGTTGGCAGCTGGTGACTGCAGAAAAAATATCAAAACAGAAAAAAAAAGAAGGCCCTCCCCAAACCAAAGGACTTAAAAAACAAAACCCATGTGGCGAGGAATGGAGAGAGGATCCTATTGTCTTGGAGGCCCATGGAATCTACTTCAGTCTATGAACCGTTCTCCGAAAAGAGCACCGCTGGCTGGCTGGGAGAGCTCTGTTCTCTGTGTTTCCTACTTCTGTGTACATTCTCGGGTTCAAGTTTGCTTGGATTTTGACTTTTTTTAATGTTTAGTAAAAAAAGCAGTGTCTGCTGCCATGTTGCGTCTCTTTCTCTCTTTGACTCTGTCTGCCTCTGTCTCTGTGCTTGTAGCTGTTCCTTGGAGCACGGTGTGGTGTTCTTGATGTAGTGAGCTCAAGTCTGCAGCTGTTTCTGGGGACGTGGTGGAGGCTGCATGTTCTGTTCTCTCCAGGAAGAGCTAGTGGTTTTCTACCCTGTGTGTTGGTGAGCAATGTGCAGAGGCAGAGCCGCTGAAGTATGGTTTCCGAGGGGGTGGCCAAGCACCGCCCTCACTCCAGGTTACCTCATCAGCCCTTGTTTTTTGGGCCCCAGCCCTGGGGGCGGCCAAAGCTGAGAGGCATCAAAACCAATGCACAGCCAGCCCCTGCCACTAGCCCCTGCCGGTCTGCACATCTTCTATTTATGTTCCTTGGAGAAGAAATGGTTGATTGCCATGTTTCTGTTAGCAGTCATGTAATGCCATTGCCCGCTCTGGTACATTCACTTGGCCACCAATTTGCCTCTGACCTTTGGAGGGAGCATCCAGGCCCACAGGGCCCACTGTGAGGGTCCTGGGAAGATTCTAGCCCACCCTGCCCGCTGCTTCCCATTTGCAAGGGCAAGACAGGCCTGCCTGGCAATAGTGGCCTCTGGCCTCCCAGCGCCTGTGCAATGTCAGCAACCACTTTCCTCCCTCAGCCACAGCCTGGTCCAGCGTATCAGACCAAGACACACAGATGGATGGTCTTGCTGAGGAGGTGCCACTGTTTTTTTTCACAGGCCATCCTCCGCCTCTTCCTCCTACCAACAGCAAACCATTCTTGACGGACACTAAGAAAAGGGCTATCCTTCTGGGCCCCCTGTAGAGATACGAGGGAGTCCCTTGTACAAAAGAACTGAGTCATGTATGCCCTGGGCCAATTCAGAGTGTTTTACCTCTAGAAGGTCACCTTGGTCAATTAAAGGCTCTGCTACAAGACCCAGGAGCCCTTGTCACCCCCAACTGTTATCTCCCCCCAAATCACACACTCTCAAGTGTACAGAACAAAAGGACAATTATTGGCCCAGGGAGAATGCAGAGTCAACGACCCTAACCAGACTCTAGAAGGAGCTGGTTTCTAAGCCCACCACCACACCTCATCCTCAGTGAGCCCTGCTCTCCACCGCCGAGCCTTAGCCTTGACTTGGCGCCCTCAGAAGCAAAGGCCCCTCACTGCCATTCTCCCACCAAGATATTCTTGCCAAGAGCATACCGCAAGACCCTCCCATGTCCACAGGGAGCCCAATGGCATTACATAACCCTGAGCCCGGGTCTATGAAGTGCGCTGCTAGCCGAGTGACGGCAAGGCAGGTGTGTTTAAAACAAAGTGGCCATCAGGATTACCTTGTCCACTGAGGTTGGGGTTTGTATAATCCCAAGTATCCTGATCATTCTTGAACACATTCAAGCGCGTAGGCTGAAAGGACAAGACAAAACTTGAGATCAGCCATGTCAGTTCACCTGGAAGGAGCCCCACAGCATGCATTCAGCAGTCAGATGCCCTGACTTACCTTCGCATATTCAATCTTCAGAGTGCAACAGCCAGAATAGATGTCAGCCCCATTGAGTGAGGCCTTAGCCCGCTGGGCACTTTGAACAGAGTCAAATGTGAGTCTTGTCAAGAAAATTCCCACCATAGGAGCTTTTGGGAAAGGACTTCAAATTGTCCCAGAAAGGAATGAGAACAAGGTAACACTCAAAGACTGCAGTGCTCTGGGATCAGCTCATGGCCCGTAGCCACCATTTTCAGGATGAAGGCAAAACTGAGCAGATGGACTCAACTACTTCCCTGGGTGAGCAGTAACTGGCTAGATCTCATGATCTATACCCCTCCCCCAGCCCACTTCCTCTCCCACCATCCCAAGCCATGCCACCTTTTCTTCAATTGCAGGTCTTTTCTTTGGCCCTTTGACTAAACCTGAACAATCTGAGACATCAACCAGATTGTTGCCTATACTGAGTGTCATGCAGCTTTGTCTAAGATGTCCTAAAAACTTAACAAACCCCTCTCCCATCCATCACTCTACAGTACTCAAGTTTTCCAGGTTCTCCAATACTAAGCTCCTTCCCACCTTAGGACCCCTACAGAGCCTGCTTCTTCCACCCTGAATACCAACTCCTATCTCCTCAGAAACCTTCCCAGATCCCCTTTTAAATTCCTTTACCTTGTATCTTATAGCACTCTGTTCCATCACACTGTACTTCTGGCTCCTTGTTTATTAACTGTCTCTCCCATCAGACTGTTGACTGTAAAGGCTTCTGGCACATAGCAGGCATTCAGCAGATACAAAGTACTTAAAAGAATGGCCCCCTTCCAAACCCCATGAGAGTGTCCACTACAAAGAACACCTGTTTCTCAGCAAAGGATATTCCACCATGGCCTGCACTCCATTTTTCCGGAAAATGACAATTCTCTGGACAGGGCCACAAGGATTACAGATTGTATACAGAACATCCTGTAAACGCAAAGATGAGCAAGATGAAGGGGCACTGCAGGTCACTCTGGCTTGGGTGAAGAGCTGGAGAGAAAAAGGAGGGGACCCTCACAGAGGAACCATAGGAATGCTTGCCGCACGCACCGTAGTAATAGAGTAGATAGGATTCAAGATGGTAAAGAGAAGCACACTGTTGACACTCCGGGAGTCATCTGAGTCTCCAGGGCGAGAGATCTTCTGGCTGGTAGAGTAGTTTACGAAAGCTGGGTGACCAGCAATATAGATTTGGTTGTCGGCTGCGTAGTTCACGGCATTGCAAGCCCCCAATACATCTTCGAATTCCACCAGTGCTTGTCTTTTTTTAGGCATTACTACCACATAGCTGTCATAAAAAACAAAAGTTTCAATCCACTCAGGGAGATAAGAGACAAGATGGTAAGGCCCTCCAAATTTTTATGGACACATTCCTCCAAAACCATGTCATCATTTCCCAACCTGAACACCCCATGGTACCACAAACCAAGAGATGTATAGCTAAGTCATCACCTTCTCTGGGAAGCCTTCATCACCACTCTCACCTCACTAAGAAGAGGCTTCCCACAGATTCCTGAGGTTGCTCTATCGCAGTGCAAAGCACTCTGGGTGGGCAATACTTTCCAAGAGGAGGAACCCAGAATAGTTTTGCTTACTAACGTATCTCACACACACCAGATACTCAAAAAATATTTCCTGGCTCAGTGCCTGTAACATAGTGGTTACGGTGCCACACACATACATCGAGGGTGGCAGGTCAAACCCGGCCCAGGCCAGCTAAAAAATGACAACTGCAACAAAAAATAGCTGGGCATTGTGACGGGGATCTGTACTCCCAGCTACTTGGGAGGCTAAGGCAAGAGAATTGCTTAAACCCAAGAGTTTGAGGTTGCTGTGAGCTGTGATGCCACAATAATCTACAGAGGGCAACATGGTGAGAATGTTGCAAAAAAAAAAAAAAA